CACATTTCAGATTTTTGCGTGGAAGAGTAGCACATTTCGTTATTTGCGTGGAAGACTAGCACATTTCAGATTTTTGCGTGGAAGAGTAGCACATTTCGTTATTTGCCTGGAAGACTAGCACATTTCAGATTTTTGTGTGGAAGAGGGATACGCAAGGCAGTTCATATAAGGTTGTAGCAGCCGTTAAAAAGAAAAAAGTTACATAAATATGTATGTTTATACTATAATTATTTTTCTTCGGTCATGCTGAAAGTTTAGTGTTGTATATGGAGCCTTTTGGCCGGTTATTACAAGTAAAATAAACGTTTATTTTTCCTCCTACACCTTTCGACATTCGCGTCTTTCTCAGGGAATCTTTATTTATAAATAAATACGAAAAAACATATACTTACAGTATCATATCAAGAGGACTCCGTTTCAAAGTGATATTATTTATGTGATGTTTATTTGTTTACTTAAAAAACCTTCAATTAAAATAAAGTTAATTCTCTTAAAAAAATCCATATTGGCCCAAGTTTAAAGCCCAGGAGAATACTAAAAAAACTCAACAAATTTTCAACAACGCAAACGCAAATGAAATATTTTCCTTCGAAGAACTGTCCAAATATTTACATTGGCAAAAAATTAAGATATCACATGTACGGAAAATTACAATAAAAAATAGCAAAAATCAAGTAGACATGGCAGTAAAATACGACTTTATGCAAAGCGAGGAGAAGTTGAACCTAATGAAAAAAAATGTTCAATGGTCAACCATGAAACACTGTGAATTGCCTAAAGCTTACAAGGGAAAAATACCTTTAAAAAAAAGAAAAGTGGATGATATTCAACAACTGATTAGTAAACGGTATATACCGTCTGAATTTCATGATTTTCATAATACAATTAAAGAAATATAGAATAAACGTTTGAATTTTCAATATATATTATGCTTTTATGATTTACTTTAAACCGGAGACGTGCAGTTTTCGCGGCTTAACAATCTGAAATATGCTACTCTTCCAAGCGAAAATCTGAAATGTGCTAGTCTTCCACGCAAAAATCTGAAATGTGCTAGTCTTCCACGCAAATAACGAAATGTGCTAGTCTTCCACGCAAAAATCTGAAATGTGCTAGTCTTCCACGCAAATAA